TGCGGAGAGGGCGCGGTACGAAAATAGCGAGCGAGTAGCCGCGCAGCCGGTGCATCGTCAGAATTAGCGAGGCTGCGGTGCTTGGAGGAGTTTGTGGTTTGACAGATGGTGCCGTAGGAAAGAAAGTGTCTGCGGGGAGAAGCTGTACTGACGTACGGCTTTGCTCCTTCGTGTGACAGTTTATTGCGGGTGTTCTTTTAGCTTCGTAGGGGTACGGTGTTCTGACTTACCTGTCGGTAGCAAAGAAATGCCGAGCTGTGCCCAAGTTTTGGGTTTTTTTTCTCTGAAAATGAGATTTTGTTAATTATTTTTTAAAAAAATGCTTATTCTGTTGTGGGTCCTTTCACATGTAAAGTCGATTTGTACACCGTGTGTTACTGATAATTAGGGAGTGTAAACTTCTTCACTTTTAACGTTGAAAGCGGCACGATTTAGTTTGTTTTTCTCAGCCCCGAAAGGAGGAAAGCTTTTGGGAACTGCTTCCCTATTCAGAGGAGGCTCCTTGCTGTTTGCAAAGTTGTATTAAGGCAGCCATCTAATTAAAGTGATAGATTAGTAGGGGAAGGGGAATTTGAGGAGCTTTCTGTGAAACTGAATGTCACTTTTGAGAATTCTACTGCTTAGCATGTCAGCTGGTGAAAGAATTGGACTAAGCGAGGGGCCGGGAAAGTGATCTCTGTGGACAGTCTGTTTTAATTGTCATTAGACTATTCCAGTAGGTATTTGCAGTTTAGTGACCTGATTTTTGTCACTGTTACAGGCATGATTATCTTTGCATGTTGACTTAGATTTGGTAGACTACTCAGAGATGAATATTCGTATAAACGTAAATGTCTACATGTTAAGCCTCGTAAAAATATAATGTGTTTTGAAGTAGTTAAAGACTCCAAACTTGCTATTCCTACTGTGTATATTCTTGATTCTGTTCATTAGTGTTATTGCAGTGGAGACAGGAAGACTGCTGTGTGATTGTTTCAGTACCTCTGCAACTCTTCCTCTCTCTCAGGTGAAACACCACCGCTCCACTCCCCCAAAATAACAATTCATCTGTAGGTTTCTGAAAGCCAGTCGGTGTGTACAATCAGGATGTGATTTGTGCACGAATAAGCTGCTGTCCTTTCAGTTCTGTTTTTATGAGTATGCAAGGATGGGGGAAAAAATAAAAAGCATCTACTCAAGAATTCCTTTGCCTCCTGCACGAGTCCATAAGAGAAAGCAGCAGGAAAGGACAACTTGTGTTACCTGTGTTGACAGCATAGTGAAAAATAAGGAGAGAAAAATTTTGTGTGTGGTAACCTGCTGTTTTTCTCTTGTAATTAGATTTGAGCTGAAATAATACCAGGTATTTCAGAAAAAAGATTGTTCAAAATATCAGAAGCCTTCACAGTCTGAGTGTTAAAAATGCCTTTCCTTATGCTCTTGAAATAATAATTTATTTACTTATGGATTGCATTTTACTGTTACAACATTTTAAATACTTCTTATATTCTCAGAGCTCATATAGATTAATAGAATTTTTTTTAGCATCCCAGCTAGATAAGCAATCTTTTATAGTCAAAGCATACGCTGATAGAGCATATAAGTGTATCTTTACAATATATGCTGTGGTATAGTTCCTGTAGAGTCATGGTTAGTTCTTCATTTCTTATCCAGGTTTGAGCCCAGCTACTGGAAATGAGGAAATTGAGTGGCAGTTTGGTTACATATTAATTTTTTGCGAAAGTCTACTTAGCAGCTGCAGTGTTTTTGTAGTTATTTTTCTCTTCAGGAAGAAAAAAGTAATTCTAATCTTCTTTCTCCATGCATGTCTGCCCTTGAAAACTTATTTCTTAATTATTTGCCTGATCTAAGGAAATATCTTTCATGGTTTTCTTTCTTCCTTTTTTAATAAAGCATGTCATCTTACATTATAGGAGCAGGACTTTGGGGAATAGCAGCTATGGAAGGAGGTGGATTAAAAAAAAGAACAAACTAAAACCACCAGAAACACTCAAACTCTTATTAATAATGCCCTAGGAAACTGTCATAGGGAAGTGATTATTCTCTAAGGCTGTTTGCTGAAGGAAGTAGTCTAGGACTGTCATCATTACTTATCAGCTGTTCTCTTAGCTCTTAGCATTTGTTTTTGTTGATGAGCTACTGTAACATTTCTTCATCAGCCTTTAGTGAGCTGCAGTTATGAAGTAACTGTAGCAAAACCATTAAATGAAACATATTATTGAAATGTACGGTAGGTGACAACCTTACGGAAGCAGACAGTTACTGCTGACAGTCATGGTCAGGTGTCAGATTAGCACAAGGTTGCTACTTCTTCATGAATGGGTTCACTTAAGAGGTACGATGCTTTTGTTTAATAGAGCCACTTAAATTTAGGATGGCTTTCTTGTCTACTGCAGCATCTATTTGTTAAGGTAGGGTTTCTTTGGTGTGTGAACTGGTGCCGTCAGAGGCAGAAAGAGCAGTTTGGCATAGGCAAAGGATCACACGTGTTCTGAAGCTCTTGTGGAAGACCTTCAAGTATCTCAAAAAGACTCTATCATTGTTTCATCGGTGGCACTTTGTGCCAGCAACAGATACTCATGTGGTGTACTGCAGCAGTGAGCTTTAAATTGCCCCTTTATTTTAGCATCTGCTTCTACCAGTTTTACTGAAGATTATGTGTAGATATTGAGAAGGATCTCCTGGATATCTCATGGTGTGTTATCGATCTGTCGTACAGTCTCTAAGAGGAAAAAGTTTTTGGACCTGCAGGTCAAAATCTTTCAGATTTTTCAGAGAGCACTTCTCTGTGGTTGCAGCAGTATAATTAGTGAGTTACTCCAGTATGCAAGGTTACTGCCTATATCTCTCAGTTACACATTAAAGCAAGTGATGACCTCCTGTGTCTGCTTTTTTCTTTGCTTTAGCAAAACAGAGATAGGAGTATTTGCTGTTTATTTTTTTTTTGTTATTCTACTGCCTATAATAGGGTTTGGAGAAAAAATAAAAATCAGAGGGAGAAGAGAAAAGTAGGAGGGAAAATACATAAACCTCTGTTATCTTTCCCAGGTGTTGTACTGAGAACTGAGTTTTGTCACATAGCTGAGGGATGGTAATGTGGGGGCAAAAAATGGGATTCTGAGCAGCAGGGTGAGGCGTGCTGTGGTGTTATGTGACAGGTGTATTTGTGTGAGTTCCTCATCAATCAGAAAAAGGAGGGGCGACAAAGGAAAATCATTAGGCTGTGGCTTCAATCGTGCATTCCCGCGCAAGGTGCCCTGACTCGCCGCAGCGGTAGCAGTTGACTTCGCTGGTCTTGCTGCAGTTGATGGCTACGTGGCCAGTCTCACCACACCTATAGCATTTCACTTTGGTGCAGTCTTTTTGGATGTGTCCAAACTCCCCACAAGAGTAGCACTTCTGCTCATCTGCGTGGTCACAGTCGCGAGCCAGGTGGCCAGGCTTGCCACAGTTGTAGCAGCACTGCGCCCTCTCCCTCTTCGGCTCCTTGCAGTCCTTCGCAATGTGGCCACCTCTGCCGCAGTTATAGCAGGCTTCCTCCTGGAGATCACAGTCCTTGGCGAGATGGCCAGACTCACCACAGCGGTAACAGTTGCTGCGCCCAGTTGTTTTCAGGCTTGGACTGATAAGCGTTCCCCCCTCTCTCTCCCTTCCCCCCTCCTCCCCCCCTAATTAGCAGTGAAGTAACAAATGAATCAACATCGGAAGCTGGACTGATTTGAAGAGGTGAGTTAAAATTTGTGAAGGAGCAAGGGCATTCTGCCAGCACAGCCGTGGACATAATAAAACCAGAGGGACATGTGCGATGACTTTCCATATAATAGAAACTGTCAGGCTGAATGAGGTTTACCACTTAGGAGGAAAAGTTACTCTTCATTTAAAGTTTTGGAGTAAACCCCTCTTAACACTTGTAAACACACACAAATCCTTTGTGAGCTTTTCAGTTGTTAATTAGCTTAAGTGTTTGCTATTAATAACTTATTTTTAGCTTGGTGTTGATTTTATTCAAGTTGCAGCTACCAGATCTGGCTATCTGCCTGTTCGGAGAGTTATGTATTGTCCAATTTTTTTTTTCTTCTGTGAAAATACATATAGATCAATGAAGACCTCTTAATCAGACTGAGCTCATAAAAATCTTTACTCTTTATATTTTTTCAGTCTTGTTTCATTTTTGAGACTAGTCAGTTACTACATTTTCTGTCACTTGGAAGTTATACCTGATGTGACCTGGATGCAAATACTTTTCTGGAATGTGCAGTAACTTCATATACAAATAAAATGATTAGGGCAAAACAAAGTCATTGCTCTAACAGGATGGAGAGAACATAAATAAGTCTTTGATAGTAAAGTGGGCACAAGTTGCTTAATACTTTGCTAGTAAATCTTTCAGTGATCAACAGTGAAAGATGAATGAAAAATGAAGTTCTAAGCACTCAAGGCAGAGCTTAAGCTGATTTTAGCAAAAGCAAGACCATTTTCTTTGGAAGATGGGAGCTTTGGTCTGCGAATAAGGGCCTTAGACATGTAAGATCTACTGTTATAGTTTACATGTTCTTCAGTAGTCAATGACCAAAGAGAAACACCTGGGATGTATCCCTCTGAAGGCCCAGTTTGCACCCGTGCAGTCATGGATGTGTGGTAATAAGCATGTAATGGGAAGCTATAGAAGTTCTGTATCAAACTTGGGATACCTCTGGAAGACAAAGTATTTTCTCTTGGTAGCATAGGGACCTTGTTTGTTCAGCAGTACTGTTTATACACACTTTTGTTTTGGAAGATGTTCTTGCAGCTGTTGGGACCAATTACTGGGAAAAATTTTGTCTTTCTTTGGTAGATAATCTCACCCGTTGAGACACTGAATTTGGAGGGGAAAAAAAAAGCTATATGAACACATAGCGTGGCTGTTTAATTCATGTGCTTCTTCTTTCTAGACACTGTATATGTACAATTCCCATTCATTTCACTCATTCACTCATTCATTTGAGTTGAAGTTGAGGAGAAGAATCATCTCTCTCCTGTGCTCCTTTGTGTAAAATGCTTTTGGGATGCATAGATGTGAAACAAATTCATACGCAAAACATAGTTCACTTAAGTACGCCTATAGATAGTAAGTATCCAGAAAACTTTATATAATATGACATGTGCATAAAGGTAAGACTTAGATACTATAGTCAGAACTCTTTTTTCTTTTTTTTTTCTCCAGGGTATAACACAGCCAGATTCCATGGAGACACCTTCTAAAATAACAGCAAATGCATTATTAGTTATTCCTTAATCTAAGCATAGCTGTTCAAAAGCCTAGTAATAAATCATCTTCATATTTCATAAATAATACAGAGCATACTAAAATGTTAGTATTTGTAGTCAGTGCAATGAAATTGGATTCACTTGAGTCTTCTTTATACTTCCTTTACAATTTTAAATTATTAATATTGTTGTATTTCAGAAATTTATATATATATATACACACTGTTGATGTAAACCTAATCTATTCAGTCCTATGAATCTCTGGCAGTTGAATTCCAAGTTGTCTTATGCCTTTTGTTGTACCGAAAAGCCAGGAAATCCATGTTGATACAAGCACATTCCAAGATGATTAATTGATGATTATCGCAGCTTCTGTAGCTTCTGAAAAGAGAAGCTGTAACAGCTTTTAAATCCCACTTAGAGAAGGGAGCAGCTCTTATCCAGGACTACAAACAGCAATAGCGAGAAAAATGGATGCAATGAGGAACAAAATATATTTGCTTTTTCTGGCTTTAATGCTCCTTTAGTTCTTGTTAGTCTCTGTGGGTTTTCAGTAATTTTCTGTAGAATTATGACTATATCTTTTACTTACTTTCTTTTTTTCTTTTTTTTTTTAATCCTAGGGTCAGTACTAACACTAACTGCAGTGAAATGTTATGGCTGTAGGACTAATGCTAATTCATTAGTAGTCAGTCTCACTTCTAGATGAAACCTCAAACACTCATGGTGCTTTCTGCTTTAATAGTTTTCAAAGAATTGCATTAATTTTGAGTGTAGACTTAAACCACTGGTAGAAGTCCCATTCATGCCTTCTGTTGCCATTAGTATATCACCATGGCAAAAATAGTTTTTGTCTTTCTTTGTGTGTATTTTCCATTTGCCAGAAGGCATGACAGCTGCAGGAATTAACTGGTCCATGTGAAACACTTGACTCTGAAACTCTTTTCGTTATGTCTTACTTTTTTGATTTTTTCCATATTTTTTCACTAAAGTCTACTCCACCTGAAAACTTACAACCTAAGTGTATGCTTCGCTTAGAAGCTTTACCTGAAGCAATGAATGACTTAGACACCATAGAATGGAAACGGTGAAATAGCTATATGTAGGAAAGTATAAGGAAAGTTTTGAAGTGGAACTAACATTTATTAAAGCTTCACTGCTCAGTCGATTTTTCTGTTTACTACTTCCCGATGTCTTCTTGTTATGTTGTGTGTCCCCACTGGAAGCTCTCTTCACTGGACCCTGTGTGTATCTTAGTTGTTGTAGAGGCTTACACACAGTCAACTGATTATACAGAATTCAAGTGTGCATTTTATGTTTATCTTCAAATTAAACCTTTAATACAGATTATCAAATTTAAGGCTCTGAATATAAGATTTTTCTCAGATGATCTTGCCATGATAGCTGCTTTATGGCTTTTCCTTGTGTAACCTTGTGCTTACTTTATCCTCAGACTTTATGTGAAGCATAGAGTGTAAAGCAGTAGCGGCGTCACTGTGCTGCATCTGAGATTCTATCTCCAGGCATGACTTTCCACTCAAAGCTTCTCTGTGTTCAGGGAAGACAACTGTCGTTCAGCAATGTGTACTTACGTCTAAATAGACAATGCCAGGCAGGTGTTACCCACTTGTCTATGGCAGCGTGATCGAAAAAAGTGAAATTTTGGTTTTGGCTTTTTTTCTTTAGTCTTCTTGATGTCCTTAAAGCATTGAGGCACTGGGATGGTAACCTTATGAGCAAACATCCAGACTGAAATACTGAAGCAAAAAAAACTGTCCTTGAAGCTGGGGATCTTGAGGAGAAGATCTTGGGTTTGGATCAGGTTAGAACTTGGATGCACTGCCTGGCTGAAATCTTAATGTTGGTTGGATGGGGTTGTCAGAGGGTGGTGATGGTGGTGGGGAGATGAGAATGGCACTGAGCAACTGGGAAGATGTGCAAGTAGTGGAGTCCATGTATTGTGAGGGCTTTAGAGAGTCCAGGAGGAATCCAAAGTTTACAGTTGTTACTGTCCTATTGTTAACTTCCTTGTGCTACCTCCTCACAACCTCATACCTCTTCCTCTTATTTATTTTTGAAAATTTGTATTTCTGACGCTTGTGAAACTTAAATATTAGAGCTGAAGCTGCCTGGATATCCAGTGTAGATGAAGACTTTTCCATTTTACTTTAGTCTCAGTACTTCAGGTCTGTATCTGTAAAATGAAGATAATACTAGCTGTACAATGTATGACAAGATAAGTCCATTAATATTGGTGAAATACTCTAATACTATAGTGATGATCACCTTGGAGAGGCTCATGAGGAAATGAATACTTATGGCATCCCAGGAGAGCTGGAGTGCCATAAGGCTAGTGACTGACCAACTCTGATTAGACCATGCACTGGATACCTTGACTGCTCTACCCAGTAAGCACTGTCCTTCCTGTTCTCTGAGTGTTGAAGCCATCTTGGTGGAAAGAAATGTGATTGAACACGTAGCTGAAAACTGTATAAAGCTGTTTATGCATCCTCTTTGAAAATGTTACTTAGACACTTTGTGACCTGCGGTTCTTAACTTTGTGAAAATAGCAGCAACAGTATATGAGGGGTTGGTACCTACTGAAGTCCTCATCAAGCTGCATTCAGGCTTCAGAATTAGGATGTCTTTGAAGGGGAGAAAAGCTCCTTTAATGATAATATGACCATGGGAGCAGAGATCTTTGTAATAGTCCTCGTAATCCTAGCTGCATATAAACGGTGGAGAGTAGGAAAGTACAGACAAGAGCTAGTGAGACAGAATTAAGGAACTAGTGGTCCTGATTTTGGTGGGTCTGATATTTTTCTTTGTAGTCCACAAAGGAAATTTGACTTTATGTGTCCAAAATTTGTTACTTGTCTGCTGGAAGGCTAGTACTTGCGTACGTTGTATCCAACAGCACTTGCAAAGGTCTGCAGAATGGGTGAACCTAGTGGTGGCAGCAGCAAATAGATCTGCCCAGATGGAGAAGTTGCATAACTGGATGGAGCTTGCAGTGTTTGGAAGGAGAGTGATGCAGTGATGAAATGTAATCAGAGGTTATCTGCATATCTAGTTTGGCATAGGAACGTGATACAGTGAACACCAGATTGTCTTGCTGAAGTTCTGTCACCATCTCGTGATGTTGCTCTTAGTATCACAGTGAGTTTTGAGCAAAGCTTAGATGGATGAGAAGCTCAACATGAGCTGTCAGTGCGCACTTGCAGCCCAGAAAGCCAATCATATCCTGGACCACAACAAGAGGTGCGTGGCCAGCAGGTTGAGGGAGGTGATTCTCCCCCTCTACTCCACTCTTCTGAGACCCCACCTGGAGTACTGTGTCCAGTTTTGGAGCCCACAGCACAAGAAAGTTATGGACGTGCTGAAGCGTGTCCAGAGAAGGGCCACGAGGATGATTAAAGGGCTGGAGCACCTCTGCTATGAAGACAGACTGAGAGAGTTGGGGCTGTTCAGTCTGGAGATAAGGCAGCTCCACAGACACCTTACTGTGGCCTTCCAGTATCTCAAGGGGGCCTACAAGAAAGCTGGTGAGGGGCTTTTTAGGATGTTGGATGGTGATAGGACTAGGGGGAATGGATTAAAGCTAGAGAGGGATCGGTTCAGATTGGACCTTAGGAAGAAGTTCTTCACCCTGAGGGTGGTGAGACAGTGGCACAGGTTGCCCAGAGAGGTGGTGGCAGCCCCATCCCTGGAAGTTTTTAAGGCCAGGCTGGATGGGGCTCTGAGCAGCCTGATCTAGTGGGAGATGTCCCTGCCCATGGCGGGGGGCTTGGAACTCGATGATCTTTAAGGTCCCTTCCAACCTTGACAATTCTATGATTCTGTGATTGTACCTGGAGGTAAGGCTTGACCTCGTGGAAGCTTTGAAGAGGGAAGTATTGCAAATACACAGTTGTACTTAGAAGTACCCAGAGAAGATACTCTTAATTCTCCATATGTATTTTCCCCAAATTCTTCTACCTTCTGTTTTCCTCAGTCTTCAGGATCCTATGTAAGAGACAGGTCCTGAAGTTTAGCACAGGAAGAATGCAAACTTGTTATTGATCTTTCCAACCCCTTTTTATGCCCTCAGTCATTTCTAACCAAATTTGTTTCTCTGATATACCTGAAGGCAGAGGTTTTGTAAGATGATGTGGCAATGGGCGGTAGAAATGAATTCCTCAAAGGAAGAACCTCACGTCATCCTGTGTGATCTCCTTTGGGGAACATAAAAGAGCACTGCTTGAAACCCCTGGGGCTTTCTTCAGCTGAAATAAGTGAAATCTTGAAGAAATCTGAAAGTTGTCATTGATAGGGAGGGAAATGTTCCATCTCCATGAAATGTGCAAAGGATTCCTGTCATCTCTTCAGAATTCTTATAATAACAGCTAATTGCTTTCTGCATTCTAAATCTCCTTCGTGGTTATTTTAATTATACCACACTGTGACAAAAGTACCTGTCTTTTTTGCTGCCTGAGTGAATCCAAGAGGAGGAAGAGTAAAAATGAAAAAAAACCAATATTTTTTTTAAGTTCCTTTGTTATGCTTCCTTGCAGTACACAATCATGTTGTAGGTCAGTTTTCTGGTTTTAGTTTTCTAAAGGCACACCTCTATGTAACCCAGTAGATCTTTATATAATAGGAGGAGCTGCCTTTAACAAACTTAATATGACAAGCACAGTTTCTCTTTTTTCAAAAGATCTCTAAATATTTTAAGGTAAATTAATTCACATTTGCCATGATAAGCCAGACTTACACCTGTGAGAGGGCAAAAGCAGTCACCAGTGTGCTTTAATGCATATAAGCTCAGTCACTTCATGTAAGTACATGGTTATTAGAAGGGTTTTAAAGAACAGTCTGGAAAAAAGTGAAGATAGTGGCTTTTTGATGGGTAAATTAATATAAATTCTTCAAATCTACAGAAATGCAGACTGAGATGATGTGAAGCTGATACAAGCAGTCTGTAGTTTTCCAGATGCTTGTACCTGACATTTTATACCACAGTGCTTACACAGTGGCACCACACAAATTTCAGTGCATCAAGCATTCAGTTTCCATGCCAGGATTAAGTTACTCAAGTTTGTTTGAAGTTATGGACTGTTGCAATTTTAAACCGCTAGTGTTTTGTCATGTGTCCTTAGTTAGGAAGATTCCTATTACATTTAATAAAAATTGAATTGTGATGAATAAATGATTATGACCATCTCTGAGCTGCAGCACATCTGAAGCCTGAAAATTTGTTTATGCTTAAGATACATGTAACCAATTAACTTGAATGACAGTCTCATTACATTTTCTCATCTGTTGTTGGTGCATTGTTAAGCATGCCTCTCTAGCAGGTAAAGAAAGATAAAATGAAAATATCTTCTTCAAAGAAACCAAACTAATTATCCACTTCTTGGTGTTGGGTGAGAAATGGAACTTTATTCCGCACATCCACTGAGCTGTGCAAGAGCACTTATGAGGAACCCAAGAAAGTCTTCTTCATTTGACTGGAAGGTCATCGTTGCTAAGGCAAGACTGCTGTCATGTTGTATTGATCATTCCTTAGCATGTGGCACTTAAAGTTCCCGTCCTTTTTTTTTTTTTTTCTCTTAGCTGCTTTTTTTTGTGTTACTTTGTTTTGATATTGTCTCAAATAGGCTTTTGATTTTGAGGAGACTTTTATAGACCTGTTTTATCTCTGGCAGGGGGGCTCTACTAGATGATCTTTTGAGGTCCCTTCCAGCCCCTAACATTCTGTGATTCTGTGATATATATATATCACTTCACATAAACAAAAAGTTTGACTCTTTGTAAATGAGCATTTGCATTTATACAATGCAAGAATGAGTTCATGTATCTGTAAGAGTGTGTGACTCCTAATTATGCATCCTGACAAAGGATATGAGAAGACAATTTGGCTCAGAATTTCCCTGTCTCTCCTATTAAATCATCTAGTCTGCATTTGTGTGCTTTGCTTTTCCTGAATTTTTAGTCGTTATGGATACAGTTTTAGTATTGCTGGTAGATCACGCTAATTTTTATACTTTTTTTTGGTCAAAAATGCTGATACAAAAAAGAATTTATATGAGACCACTAGGAGAACCCTTTAAAAATTTTGTTTAAAACCTCTGATTTTCTTTCTCCTTGCACAACTTACATGTTTGGTAGTTCTAGTTCTGATCCTTTGCTACAAATAGATGCTAATGTTAGAAATCTTCCATGACTTCAACCCAATAAAACTGTACAGAACAACAGTACAAAGTAGGTAGGTTTAGACTAGACACTAGGAAGAAGTTCTTCACAGAAAGAGTTGTGGGATATTGGAACAGGCTGCCCAGGGAGGTGGTTGAGTCGCCATCCCTGGATGTGTTTAAGCATCGCTTGGATGTGGTGTTGTGTGATATGGTCTAGGGGTGAACTTTTAAGTAGGGTTAATGGTTGGACACGATGATCCCAAGGGTCTTTTCCAACCTGGATGATTCTGTGATTCTGTGATACTTCCTTTTTGAAACAAAGAAATTTAACCCTTCCCTTAAAGAGCTACTTCAGCAGTTTTAGCAGGATCTGCAGTCTGGAACAGAGCCATGGGAGGCAGACTTTGACTGACTGATTTTGTTTTAACATATGGAAGATGCTGGATATTTTTCGCTTAATCAATTCTGCAAATCAACAGGTGGTGAAAGATAGGTTCTTCCCATGTGTTAGTGAAGGGTCAGATAGTGCATTGCTAACAGCATTTAGCCATGTGTGGAGAATATTCTTGCCTTCTGTTCATCAATAGGGAAGCAAATATTACATGTTTATATTTATATTTAATAAAATCAAGTCCATATGTATTTCTTGTCCTCTACCTTCTGGCTAATTGGTAATGTGGAACTAAGCTGCCATGGGCTGGACATGCATGCTACAAAGGGTATGAATTTGTGTTTTTTCTTCATCAGTTTTAAAAGTGCATTAGGCTTTTTCTGGTGCAGCATCACTGATTTAATGTATTTTTTACATGTGGCTGATCCCTAAATGAATGTAAGGGGTGCAAATATATGGCTGTGGGTGGAGCAGAGAATGCTAGAAGAGAGAACTGGCTGTGATACAAATCCTTGGGTACTTTAATTGCAGGATAGATAGGAACAAATGTCTCATATTTGTTCTTTGCAGAGTATTAAGCTGGATGCGAGGAGAAAAATTACTTGTGTAAGTTAAGTTTTTACACAGTGATATTTTGTATTACTCCTTTGTTTTGAGAATTTCAAGTAGCTCTGCTGTGCTTGCCAGCAAAATAAACAGATTATAGGAACAGAGCAAAAAAAACCCCCTTCATTCTCTTCCAATTAATTTAATTCCTGCTAAAATCCTGTTTATATCTGGAAAGGAATGACCTTGAAACATTGCAGTTCATGGTTCAAATTGTTTGGTTGATGCTGGCTTGTATACTGAGTGACCTGAATAAAAATAATGAGTGAGCAGTTCAGCACTGCAAGATTCTAATGCCTATTTTTAATGTGTTTTTTTTTTCCAAATCCCTTTATTTGTTATACAAAGGATGATAAATTTAGTATTGTGGAGACAATAAGAACACTTCCAGTTCCGTGGTCATAGTTCTTACTTAATGCAATCAGCACAGTCATTTTTATAGGTGCTCTGCATAATGTATCAGCATGGGCCGGATTTTCCTCCGTGACTCAGAAGCTGTTGTAGCTACATTGATGCAGACGACTGCATCTCTTAGTTTTGAGACTGTAGTAGTGGTAGTGAGTTTTTACATATGAATGGAGAACTTGTAAACCTGCACCAACACGATATAAATAACCTCTGACAAGTGTTGAAATTTTATTTCAATTATGTGATAGTGTTCTGTTTCTGTCAGAGGGCTCTTGTTTTCAAGCATCCCCATACATGCTTGCATTTGTAGTGTGCTAAAGGTAATTTCTACCCTTGTATATTCTGTTGGGATAGTGGTGAAGTTGTCATTTTAAGAACGTACTCTGCCACTCTCACTCCTCTTACACTCAGAATTGCTTTGCAGGTGCCACAGTTTAATATTGCTGGAAAAAACACGTAATGCAGACAGTCTGATATTGTGTGGAAACTGCTTGTAATGGTTATGGTATAATACCTGAAACAGAATAGAAGAAACTGTTTATGCACAAATATGGAAAGCTTGAATTATTCATCAGATATCAGTGAAAAATTAGTGTGTGCATCCTGCCAGGCAGAAAACCAAGTGACTTTAACTGCAATTCAACAAAGCAGTATGTTTTTTTAAAAAATGTAGGTGTAAGGTTAATTATTACACTATATAAGTTTTACGTGAATTAATAGAGAAGAGGTGGTATGATTTTACATTAGCAGGATGTGCAAAGCCAAACTGTAACAACAGAGTCCTGTTAGGCATTTGAGAGGCACAGGAGAATGTGTGAATTGACGTTTTCCTCTGTGCTGCTGGTACCCTAATGGAGTGATGTTCTCCAGTTGTCTGTGGAGATCACAGCTAAGAAGGGTAATAAGATAAGCCCCTTCTAGCTAAAAAAAGAACAGCTTGAGGATGAAGCATGTGTAGGCTTTCCTTCAGACTTCTGCCTGGAACTGCAAGAGTACGCAAAACCTCATTTCCTCCTCAGCTGATGAGATCTCAGGGGTTCCCATAGTGGTTGCCTCCTGTTCTAACCTAAGAGCAGCCCCCTAAAGAAGGCAGGTTTCTGACATTCATTCAGTGATCTGTCAAAAAGTTTGGTACCAAACTGAGAAGAAAAAAAAAAAAAAGAAAAAAAAAAAAGGTCATCTCTCCTAGTTTGGAATGAATAATTAAGGATTTTAAAGCTACTCTTTAAGTGGAAATGGACAAGTGGGAAGTCAATGATGTCTTTATTCAATTCTAATTTCAATTCTACTCTTTTAATGCTAAAAATCAGACTTGTAAACAGTGGAATGAATGTCCAGTGACATTTTACTAGCGCTTGAGCAAGCAGCACTTATATATAATGATATGAACAATAAAACAGTTGACTTTAATAATAAAAAATAAGGAATTACTTAATATTTTTCTATTTTTCAAGTAGAAATACAATTATTTTAATTTCTGTATTAATAATGACTTGCAAAAAATGAAGTTAGAACATTAAGAAGCAACTAAATACATGTTTCTTAGGAATAAAAGTAAGGAAAAATGTTAAACCAATTCTAAGTTTTAATTCGAAAAAGATTAATTGCATGATTGACTGTGTTAACAAAGGCGTATTTTGGGCCAATTTTATTCTTCTCTACTGCAATTGAAATGTCCCATGTGAAGATTAATAAACCTTAAAACTTTACAGTTGGAGGCTTGAATACAGGCACCATATGCTCAACTTCATTCCTGTTGATTTTAGGGTATTATCATACTCACAAGTCGACAATTCCAGATTCATCCTAAAATTGAAGTGCTTGCCATATCCATGATGTTTTCCTATGTGTCTTCTCTGAGATCTGTCTTTTCAATTACCATTTGCTGTCATTGAGCACTTCTTACACTCCAATTTTATAATGCAAATGCCTCTGAATCCATCAAATTTTATTTCAGTCCCTTCTCTGTTTCCATGCTGTTTTATAGTCCAAGAAGTTCTTAAAAGTTGTTCTCAAAAAATGTAGTTGGTAACATAGTGAGGTTCAGGAAGCAATAGTAACTTCATAATTTCAAACTTTTCTGAAAAGTCAAAAGAACTAGACCGTTTCTCTTCTGAATTTTTAGTAGAGTTAAAGCTTCACCAGATAGAAAGTAGGGTTTTAAGAAAATGTAAATATTGTGGCATGAATTATCTTCAAAATAAGAAAACTAGTATTGGTAGCATCCATAATGAAAAACACAAAACATGATGGCTTAAGAGTATGTGTCGTGCTTTTAGCTCCT